TGAAATGTCACCATTGCGTCCGACTGAGGATGGCGACTGCCGAACATTGGCCGTTGTAGTTGTGGCATGTCACCTCACACGTAGGCTGTGGGCCCTTGCGTAAGCCTTCGACTTTCCCCACCCCTCCACCACCCGCACGTGAGACATATCTGATTTGTTTTCCTGCCAGGCTCACACCATAGGTCGGGTCGGGCCCAGAACTTTGGTCATCCACTATCTTCTTGTTACTTTTTGCTGTTACTTTTAAAGTTGCAAGGGAAGAAAGAAAGAACATTGTTCTTCTTCTCTTCTCTTCTCTTCTACTAGGGTTTTGAATCTTGATCTTTTGTACTTGCTTTTCGTATATAATTGGTTAGTAGTAGTTGGGAATTGTCAATTGTGGGATTCAATTGTTTTGTTTATGTATTTATCGATCTTTCACGTATGCGTGAACGACTGACGCTAGCATTTCTATCAAATAAACAACGTAACTTGAACGGAACTAAAACAATTGAAACGTTGACAAATGACAGAACGAATGATGCAACCTCAATGCTACCTACCTCCTACAAACGCGCATTGGTTTTGATTGGTTAATACCCAATTAATTATTTTTAATTAATTTCAACTATTTGGACTTTGGTTATCATTTTTTTATGAGAGGAACCTGATGGTTATCTTTTTTATATTCAAACTTCAAATACCATGTGTCAAAAATGTAGAGAGAAAAAAGAAAGAAAACATGTCGTATGTTCAAAGATGGCGTCCTCATACTGTAACAACTTAAATGAATAAACCCTAATTAAACAAGTACATTAGTAAACCCTAAACCCAGGAAAGTCTGCATTTTGTAAAAACCTTTAAGAGCGTATTTATACGTGTATTGTTTAACATATGTTTTACGTAAATTTTTTAGATTGTGAATCTGAGCCACAATGAACTATATTTAAATCAACAATTTACTTAACTAATTATAAATAAAGATTATTTCCGTCGTAGTTTAGCAACAAAATATTTCCAATCTTTAAGAACAATTGCTACACATATAAAATAAAAAGGAACATTGAAATTATATGGGAGATTTACTAGTTTGTAACTCTTATTACTAGAAGCAGTTCAACCCATTGATAAACTGAAATTATATGGGAGATTTACTAGTTTGTATCTCTTATTACTAGAAGCAGCTCAACCCACCATCGACCATTTTTTCAGAATTAGTTCAATCAGTTCTCATCCATTTTTACAGAATCAGTTCAATCAGTTCTCGTCCATTTTTGCAGAATCAGTTCAACCCATCTTCGACCATTTTTGCAAAATCAGCTCAATCAGTCCTCCACCATTTTTACAGAATCAGTTCAACTCGTCCTCGATCATTTTGTAGAATCAGTTCAATCCGTCTTCGACCATTTTTACAAAATCAATTCAACTTGCCTTCTAGATATTCAGAGGGGCAGGGATGATTGTCCATGTCAAATTTGCATCAGGTATATAATTAGACACAATTAATTCAACACATGCAGCTGCATACTGATGATTAATTAATGTTAATTGATTGAGATAATTGATATATATATATATAAGTGTTATTGGCACTCTAAAATTCTCATTCTACACTCCTCACAAGTGCATTTTTCTTTCTAAATATATAAAGTTTGGAGTGTAGAATGTGAATTTTGGAGTACCCATAACAATTCCCTATATATATAGGAATCATTTAATAAGAGGAATTCCCATTTTTCTAAAAAAAAATGAGAACACCCTCTTGACTATTAGATTTAACTTTAATGAAATTGTATGGTTGAGATTGTGTGGCACGTGATTTAATCTCAACCACACAATTTCATTAAAGTCAATCCAACGATTAAGATGATGTCTTCATTTTTTTTTTTTTAAAATGGGGATCCCTCTCTTTAAAGGGCCTATGCATGTGTGTGTGTGTGTGTGTGTGTATATATAATTGAATAGATAAAGAAGTGGGGGTGATTGAAGGTGGACTTTTGGATTTTGGACTTGGCTTATACCATGTTCGGTTTGAAATCACATAGAAATTAGGAGTTACTGGGGATTCGGAAAGCTGCTGCTGCTGCATCGTCAAAACCACAGTCGATCATGAAGTCAAGGAAGAGACGACCGAGGCTCCCAACGCTACCTCACTCGTCTCTATTGAGCCATTCGTTACCATTGCACAAGCATCAGGGGTGGGAGGGCTTAAGGTTCCAATGGGGTTTTAGTACAGATGGAAAGGAATACGGCTGGTAAGCTGATTAAAAAGTAGGTAAGAATCTGAACGATTGTAACTTTTCCAAATTATATCTTATTAAGCAAAAAAATCCATAAGAACATCTCTAATGGGAGATGTAAAGTAAAATGTCTTGAATGGGCATTTTGTATTTTTTCTTCGCCGGAAAAACTCTCTAATGGCGAAATATAAATTATTTAACTTCGACAAATGATGTAAATAAAACTTAAATTTATAATATTTTTTACATCTTTTGGTGATGGGTCCCGTTAATCCTAAAGAGAAAGTTAAATGGAATGTCAAATTTACATTCCTCGCATTGGATAGAACTTTCATTCACATCTCCCGAAAATATAAAATGGAATGTGAATTATTTTGCATCTCAAATTTGAGGTTGCTTCCTACCATCAAACAATTCTAAAAACTACTTGGTGACGCAAACAGCTGCGTCTTCAAAGTCATAAATTATTAACAACTAATTATGTATTACATAAATTAGTGGATAACCAATCATGCAAGACACAATTGAACGAGTTAGACTTGAATATGATGCATGCAGTTAATTATTCTTCTCAGTTTATATCTTCAGTTTTGACCACTTGGGTGCTGGAACGTGGCTAACTTGGACTGCTTACAGTACTCACTGTTATTTTTATTTTTATTTTGTTCTATATAAAAATATTGAGGAAGCGAGGATTTGAGTTAAGTCACACAATAAATAAGACCGTAGTGCTAATATTGAGAATAAATTTCACATCTATGAAAAAACGAATCTTGTATGAAGTATAAGACGTTTGATTACTCTTCATATTGTTAATCAGTTTAATACAATCATTTTTAAAAAAGCCCAATTACAGTGTCTTATTGTATGTCGTAATTTCTTAGCTTCCATGGAAATTGGACTGGCAGGAATAAGAAACATGGAAATGTGCAAAACAAAATAGCAATGGCAAAACCCATCCCATGACCGAAGGAAGAAAAAAACAATCAACCGATCCAGCCCAAAGAAACTTGTGTCATACATCGTCGCCCAATACTGGGCCCAATTACAACTTGGGAAGTCAATTCACACACATTTTTTACCCTCCGACACATTTATTATTTCTGATATTTGATTCTGCTTGATTTATTAAATTTGATTACCATAAATAAAAAGGTGTAAGAAGTAAAAATCATTTCCCATCCAATTTTAAGCTAAATTTGCTCTTAATTTTGGTCAAAGTAGACCTCAAACATTTTTTATTACAATGATATTTGTTTACGCGGAGAAATTTATTTACATTATAGAAAAATTTGGATTGAGTTGCTCAAACTCACCTTCAGAGGGGAATGGTCATAGAATTAGTGACTTTTCGAAGAAACATGGTGTGCAGAGGCATTCTTTGGACGCCCAAAATAATTTTTCTAACCTTTCCACAATACCCCTTCCCATATGTTCAAAACTGGGATGCAATAAGTGAATGATTAATCTTTTATTTACCAGTGCAATTCACCACTTAACTCTCAAGGCAAAAATTGACTGTAAATAAACTTTCCTTTGTTAAAGAATTTTTTCAACCAAAGCTTTCATGAAAACAGCTTGGGCTAAGTTTATTTTAACAAAAAATCATGCTATAACTTTATTTAATAAAAAAATAAAATATTAATGAAAACCCCTTAAATTTTAATAAAAAGGATAAACAAACTTAAATTTTAATGAAAAGTACAAAAAAAAAAAAAACCTAACGCGTGGAACCTTTGCGTCCATCACATACACTGTTTATGAAACTGAACACTATTGCACTATTTAATGGTCTAGTTTCATAAATGGTGCCAAGTTTTTGGTCATGTTTCATAAATAGTGCCTAGTTATTGGGTCCCGTTTCATAAATAGTGTATAGTAATTGGTACAATTTCATAAATAGTGCCTCTTTCTTAGTCCACTTTCATAAATAATGTCTAGTTATTGGTCCACTTTCATAAATAGTGTCTAGTTCTTGATCCAGTTTCATAAATAGTTTATAGTCCAATTTCATAAATAGTTTTCATCTATTGGTTTAGTTTTAGAAATAATGCTTAATTCTTTGTTTCGTTTCATAAATAGTGTATATTATTGGTCCAGTTTCATGATTAGTATCTATTTATCAAGTTTTATAAATAGTGCCTAATTCTTGGTTCAGTTTCATAACGTTTCAAACTTATGTCATTTATCCCCATTTTGTACTTGACCATCTCCTACGTTATCCCCATTTTTTCACTCTTGTCAATTATGTCGTTTACACCATGTGATGGTATTTTTTTATGCGAATACTTTTACAACTAATTCATTGTTTCAATGACACAACCGATGATATAGATAATTGTTTGTTAAATAGTTATCACATAATGTCACTAATTGCAAGAAGAATCCCTTCTCTAATACAAATATTTGTGATTTTGTGTCAATAGAATAAAGATGTGTGAATAAAAATATACACATATTTATCCTTTTGTCGCAAAACATCATCGTGATGATGTATTTGTAATGTGCATACAAATTTCTCCTCTACGCGACTTGGATTTTTTATGTTTTTTTTATTTTTTATTATTTTATCCTTATCATTAAATAAAATTAGTATATAATTTTTTTTTATTAAAATGTAAAAATTTGAAGTCATTTTCATTAATTTTCTCAAATATATGTTCTTTGCTCTCTTCAAAAATTGTTATGGGCCTTACACAAACAAAAAGCCGAATTCTCATGGCCCAGCCCAAAAATCAAAATTATTCAACGTAAGACGTGGAAAATATCGCCCCTTCTCTCTCCTTATCTACGTTGTCTCTCTTAGTCTCTCTACTTTGAACTGTGAAAATGGCAATGGCGCCGAGCCTCTATCTCACATCCAAAGCCCTAATACCAACCCCAAGACCCTCCCTTTTGCCTCCTTCTCTGCAACCCTCTTTCTCTACGCTCCGATTCAACTCAGAGATTCGGCCTTTGACTCGCTCGGTTCCCTCTAAGCTGCCCGTTCGAGCTGTGAACGACAGCGACTACTCGTCGAGGAGAAGCAGCAGCAATGAGCAGAGGGAGACGATTATGTTGCCGGGCTGTGACTATAACCACTGGCTTATTGTCATGGAGTTCCCTAAAGACCCTGCCCCAACTAGGGAGCAAATGATTGAGACCTACCTCAACACTCTCGCTTCTGTTCTTGGAAGGTACTTCTTTACCCTTTAATCTTCATTCAATTTCTGTGATTTTACAGTTTTTGTTGTTTTAATGGAAAATGTTTCTGGGTTCTGTTTGTTTTGCGGGGAAAGTTATATCTGTGGAGAAATTTTTGGTGAAATATGGTCCAGTATAAGGCTTTCTGGGTTGTTTTGTTTCGGTTGGGAGTAGTTACTGGATGTTTCGTGTGGCGGAAATGCGTTCAAATTTTGCGTAAACAGAGTTATTTGTTTTGAAGTCCCAAATTGAATGAAGTATGCTTTATATACTGCTGTAGTAGTTGCAAGGAAATGAAATGTTTATGCAGTTGAGTGGGAGATTAATCTGTTTGTGTTTATGTAGAAATAGAAAATAATTGTTAGATAACCGCGATGTAAATTTTCTTCGAAAAAGGTCCAACAAAATGACAAGAAGAGTAATGCAGTGTGGCTTGGAAATTGTAGTATTGGTTCATTCCTTATCATTAAGCAAGAGATTTTCTTTATTTTCAAAGCATTTTTTTTAATTTTATACTCTAGATATTAAGCCATCTTTTAATTTTGAGTGATTGAAGTTGCATTTTTATTTATTAAATCAAGTTCCTTATCGTATTGCAAACCTCATACTAGTAAGCTAAAAACTTGATGGTGTGGGACGATGGTATGGTATCATCTCAAAATAATTTTGGTTGATGATGATTAAGCTTCTGTGTGGATTAGTTAACTTAAGATTGTTTAACTTAACGTGAACCTGTGTGGGTATCAGTACTCTGCTAGGTTACGTACTTAGTGAGAGGCGCTTAGTTATTAATCTCACAACCTCCCATGGTTCTTTATGTTACAGCATGGAAGAAGCAAAGAGGAACATGTATGCTTTTAGCACCACCACCTACACTGGATTCCAATGTACTGTATCTGAAGAAACATCTGAAAAATTCAAAGGTATGCATCGTAGTCAGGTTCATCTTTGTGTGATTTTCTCGTATAACAGTGAGTTTGTAAAGCTAACTTGGTTCATCCTGATGCAGGATTGCCTGGTGTTCTCTGGGTGCTGCCAGATTCATATATAGATGTTAAAAACAAGGATTATGGAGGTATGTTAGGTCACAAACAAATGGTTTTGTTTTACCGCTTACGATTCAGTTTAATGATTTCATCTTGGGGGTTACATATAGGTGATAAATATGTTAATGGAGAGATAATTCCTGGAAACTACCCTGTTTATCAACCAAAGAAACGGAGAGAATCAAAATTTGAGAGCAGAAGATATGAAAGACGAAGAGATGGACCTCCTCCTGAACGAAGAAAACCTAAACAAGAAGCAACTCCATCAGACTCAGCATCTGGATGAGGTAATCAGAATGCCATTTATGCAAGCAATTGTATTTTCTTTTCAAGTTGTTTTTTACTATATTTTTCTACTCCACAGTTAGTGAACGCAGGACTGCAAAAACAAATAGTACTTTATTTAACTAGTAGTGAAGGTTATCCAATGGAGGAACTCATCCAGGGGTGCACATATATGTGCTTAGATTTGTCTGGTGAAGTCTTCTTGTCGTCTGCTTGGATAAGGAATTTTGTCATATGAGCTTGTTGTCAAAGACATAATTATTTGTGAATTATCTGGTTGATCTAGGATAACCTTTGTAATAGTTTTTTCGCATTAACACCGGGAATTTAAGTTCAGTTAGATAGTTGAGTTTAGTTGTACGGATCTTTGATTTAATGTGATTTTATTTTCTGATTTCTTTGATTTAGCCATTCTGGTTACAAAGCTTATCTCCCTTTAACTTTCCTTACCCTCGCCGATGTTATTGTGCATCCAAGCTCTTAGCACCAAACACGCATACTGCTGTGTTGATTTCGTTCTCATCGGTGTGATTTTGTTGAAAGGAGGTTTTCTTGTTTTATGTTTTTCCTCATACTATCTCGAAATGTTTGTTTAATCTGTGCTGTCTAGAAGTGACTCTGGCTAAGGTTCTTAAACTTGTGTTAATGGTAGTAATGTTTATTGATTCTTCCTTTGTGGGGACTCCACCCCCATCTTCACTTGGTACTTAACGGGAGCAAGATTTCTTGAACAGAGACCGTCTTTTCTACCTTCCGTATAGTTAACGTGCTTATGTCCTATTGGTGACACATCATTTGGTTTAAAATTTTGGTTTCCCTAGCATTATCCTTTTACATTTATTGTGGTCGTGCTTCTTCAAGGTAGCCTCGAGCAACTGCGAAGAAAACCATTGTTCGATTGCGTTGCTAACATGTACATTATATTGAAAACTCAATTTTCATTGCCCGCAATATTTGTGTGTGTATTTATAAGCTAATATTTCACCAAAAGAAAGTCGAGTTATTATCTGCTTGCAGTGGAAAGCGGTCTTAACCTTGAACTTTATGCTTGTGGCTTTTGACTCTAGATTTTCTTTTCCGTGAGATCTCAACACAATTCAACTATGCCGCAAATGGCTCTTTACTACAATGGCGGAAAGAGTGTTGGCTTTGCAGTACAGCATGAGTTTGAACTTTGTCGGCTTTTTAATCTTACAAATCTATTGTTTGACCCAAAAAAAAAAGCTATGCCTTATCAGAACAGTTGGCGTCTATGATACACTAAAGCACTGGCGGAGCCACCTTAAGGCCTACCCTGGGCTATAGCTCAGGTAGCTTTCGATGAAAAATAAAATTGTACATGTAATTTTTATTAATTTTTGAATGTAGACCACCATATATTTTGTCACTAATCCGAATTCTCTCGATTTACTCATATAAAATTATATAATACAGTTTATAAACTGTAATTTTTCTTACATCCTTTTTCTCATCGCTATTTGCACATGTACAAGTTTGGATTCGTTTGAATTTTAACACGTATTTGTTTAATAACGAAAATTCTTGGATCACCTTGTGAAATGTTTTCTTAAGCTAGCTGATACTGTGAGTATTAAGTTTCTTTATTTATAAAGATTTAAATCTTTAGCCAGCCCACCTAATAAAAATTTCTAGCTCTGCCATTGCACTAAAGCAATCCATTATCTTGGTCACCTGGTGAATAAAATTTTATAATCACTCGTTATTTGATTTGATATCAAGGGTTGAAATTAAAACATTGAAAAAACGCATCAAACTATTTTCCAACTTTAATGGCAAATCAAAGAACTGAGTGGCGATACATTCATTTCATTGACCCTAATATTGAAAATTGGGCGCAACAAAATACAAACAGAGAAGGCTCGAGCATTGAAATTCGCCAAACACCAATTATTGCAAGTGAAATAAGAAAAAGAAACCCAGAAAATAAGTTAAAAGGACAACTACGAAACCCAAAAAAATTCTTTGAAATGTTGATCTTCAGATCCATGAAAACTGAAAAGACAATGAAGTGAAAGCATAAGGGAACATGTTTCTGATTCAGAAATTCACAACACAAACGTTCAGATTCAAACCTGTGATCTCTGTGAAGGAGTCTGAGATGGTGGATGTACAAAGCTGACAGAGTCCTTCCCTGCAAGTATGCAAAACTATGACTGGCAATGCTCATACGAGCTGTCTCGTTACCTTTGGTCTTTATATATCTTGAGTTTAAAGGCAAGGCCTGTAGGTCGACTAACAAAGCTCTTTTGAGTCCACGAGTATGCGGCAGAGCATCTGTCGAGTAGGATGACAAATCTATCCGTTGGGTTGTTACAGTATCTTCAATAAGGGGTTTTATATGGTGTTGAAAAAGTGATAGATATAGTCTATTTTAGAGCTCCAAAGAATCTTTATAGAAGTATCTCCCCCGATGATAGACTATTTCATTCGGACTCTATATGGGGCTCTCTATCTTTATTTATGCAGTAATTTGATTATGCAATAAATTTTTTTTGTGTTAACTTTTCTTAAGTTGAATTTTGGACTTCCTATCTTTATTTTTATTTTTTTATTTTTTATTTTTTTATGAACCTTTCAACCTAAAAATGTTCAAATTATGGCAAAGTTAGATTTAATCACTTATGAACCGTTCGTTGGATTAGATTCTCTTATCTCAATCTTATCCGTTGAAAGATACAACCGCCACTCCGCCCTCTGAAATTATTTGATTTTCACATACAACACAACAATTTACCTAGCACCAATTGGCAAATTAGTATCATACAATTTTGATAAAAATTATTTGAAATATTCACCTACTTATGCCCATGAACGTTAAATCAATTTGAAATTTTGATTATGGAATCTAAAACAATCATTAATTAGCCAAATTGCAAGAAAAATATGTAAGAAAAAAGAATTAAAAAAAGAATAAAAGGAGATTATAAGTGTATTTGCGAGGGGAGGGAGAGTAATAAAATTTTGCTCACATGCGTTGCTACTTTTTTTGTGGAACCCACTGTTTTTTGAGGCTAGATATAGCCCAATTTTATGCTACTCTAGAAAGGAAGTTGTTAGCCCCAGTGGTGGATCTAACTCCATTTTCTGACTCATTGGGGATGAAATTTCTCACTAAGACTTGAAATGTAGTAGCCTCATGAAGGATAAAACCCCCATTGGGGATGCTCTTAATGAGGACCCATTAAGACCCGTTTAATTTGATATCACCAAACCCATTAAGACCTGTTTAATTTGATATCACCAAAATATAGATGTGAGATTGGTAGTGGTGCTAATAGTGTAAGGTGAAATCAAGCTAAATTGGTCTTAATAAGTACTCATTAACAACCCAACGAGTTAATTTGCCAGATTCTACAAAAGCTGATTTTTGCTAAATTTCAAAGTGCTACTTAGGATTTTGTTAAAGAAAAAAAAATATTACTCAGGATTTTTCTGCTCGAATAAAATTGTCAAATTTAGTCTTCAAGTTTACAACTTGTACTACACTCTCTAAAATGTGAAGACTTGCTGTCCCACTAAGCAAACATTTTTTTTTCTAATGATTCAATACTAAAATTTGTAGAGTCTGTTGGAGTGTAAATTTGTGAAGTAGCAAATTTTAGTCTTTAAATTACCATGTAGGTTAACAAATTTGTATTTGAAGAAGTCACATTTGTGTACTTTCTTAGAGATGCTCTTATTTGAAAGTTTAAGTTCAATGTAAAGAAAACAAGGACAAAGTTGGTCAGAATTCAACGAATACGAATATCGATGTATGGTATACAATGATGCATACTAAAAAAACTCCACCATTTAAACCAACTAAAGGGGAGAAATTATTTGATGCGGCTGCTATATCGCTCCCACATCCTTACGAGTGTGCTGCGTATACGTGAGCCGCACAATAAAATTTCGTCACTAGGGCACCATCAAGGCACCCGGGCCTACGAGCTAATTAACAAGCAATTACAGTTGAAAATCACTCAACATGAAATCTCCATTCTATAAAAACAGATGTAAAAGTTATTAGAAGGTGAAACTTCATGATGCTTGTGAAATGACCTCGGTAGGGTTACACAATTGTGATTTTTGTCAAACAAAGACAAGTATCGAAGGGACATCCACATGTTTGTTGAGTCGGCAGAGTGATATGTGTTCTTGAGGGAGGAGGAAGTGGTCCTAGTCTAACTAGAGCTTGGCGCTATTCGCTTAATTTCGTCCATGTACATATTTTAGTATAAGCGATATTCTAAACTAATTTAGACTAAGAAAAAGGAAGAGAGTTTAAACTCAGAATGCAGTGAATTGAAGAAGAAGATTTTAACCACTAAATCAATCCACCACATGCGTTGAGGTAAATATTAAGTGAAGTTAATAAATGTTCCACATCAAAGAATTAACAACCTTGCATAAGCTTATTATTAAAGATTTGTACTATTCCCTGTAATTGACTAATTAATTATGAGGTGGAACCCCAACTTCCATGTCTTCGTTAATTTTTAAACGCAAGATAATAGCTTTAACCTCTTGGTTACACAAAGGGCTTTCAAGACGGGAGATCAAAATTTTAGTAGCCATTTTGTGTGTGGTCTCTCTGTAGCATTTATCATTGATTAATATGTGTTAAGTTTATGACAACGAAATTAAAGAAAGTTAAGTTTATTAACACATGTTAATCAATGATAGATGCCACACACAACATAAATGTAGAAGATTTGAACTCTCAAGATGAACACTAATTTAACCAAGGGTTCAAAAAGCTAGCTTTAAATTTCATTCAAAAAAGTGAAATTGATAAATTTTCAAATTTCATGAATATCATGTGGTGGATTTAATAGGGTTCCATAAAAGGATCCACCAACTATAAAGGATTATCAAAGTAGTACGATATCCTACGTTTTTTTTTTTATATACAATTAATATGTATTAAATTGATCTAAATTATGAGAAGAAGACTCAAACTTGAATACGTAAAAAATATACATTACTATTACTAGCTTGGTTAAGTTCAAATATGCTCTTACATGCCTCTTTTAAAACAATTACTCATATATTGGGGTTCTTTTAATTTTACTAACACTAAGTTGTACGAAAAATAAATAGTTAAAATTATAAACCGTTTAAAAAATTAACAACTATGTTTTGTTTATAAAAATCTAATAATTCTTTTCAACGATTAAATTTCATATAAAACTCGTTCTACTGAGTCGAACATACTATTGTAGCCGGATCCGATAGACACTTCAAAGGATGAATAATATGGAATAAGAAGTGGCGCATGGGACCTGCAAAGCAACTACGTGGGGCCTATACTCACACTAGATTAGTAGATTTTATTCATTGTCAACAGTCAATCACTCACAAGATATCTCTATATGTGGGGCCCCAGGGGGCATTTACCAGGTAACTTTTAATCATTGCCTCGTAAAAATTTTATGTTCAACGCAGGTTTCTTCTTTCACTATTCGAGTCTTGACTCTTCAATGGCAAAATAGACTCGATATTTGATAGGATTACGGGAGCATTTATTATGTGGATGGCTTGATCATCTTTATTTTTTGTTGATTTAGTTGCTTTGTTTGGTTAATTTTTTTGGTGGTGGTGGTCTTGCAATGGAGGCACATCAAATTTGGTGGTGGCTGCTAATTTTCTCTTTAATTTTAAGGTTTATGTTGTTTTTCAGTTTAGCCCGTTGAGGCTTTTATGTTGTAATTTTTTTTTTTTACTGGGCTTGCATTTAGGCTGTGCGATGCCTTTTGAGTTCTTTTTTTCTTGTACTAGTATGATTATAGAAGTAAATTAGTTTGACCAAAAAAAAATAAAAAAAAAAGACTCAGTAAATGTTAGAAGCTGTGAGTGGTGGCATTATTGAGTGTGAACTTTATATTAGAAAAAAGGAGTTTTGCTAGACTTCGTATTGCAATCAAGATTCTAATAGATACTATGTGCTAGTCGGGCGGTGAGTTAACGCTTATTGCTTAAGCAGTTAGGTGGGGCTTAGGCGAACTAGACGGATTTAGGTAATTTATTATATATCGTATGAATAAGTGCTTATTTATACTTATAACAATACATACTTGTATTGAGATACATAAATTGCAAGATAAAATGAAATATAGATTAAAGTATTAAGTATTCGACAAGTTTCTTACAATTTATTGAACAAAAATAAAATCATAAATGAAAGTTATTGTTTTTCTGTCTAAATGAGAGTCACAAGTCTAGGAGGGCGCTTAAGGAGGCCTAGGCATATTTTCTTAATTTTCAAACCCCTAGGGGTTAATAGGGACGGTAACCAGTCATTTAACACCTAGGCGGGGATTTTTGGAACACTGATTGCAATTGGTTTTATAGCGATACATCAACTTTCTTCACGAACACAAAATATGAAGAAAAATTTGAGTGGTAATTGACTCTCGTACATCATGTAGAAACCTTCAGTTACACAACACGTGTTAAATAATTCGAATTATAATTAAAGCTCGTAACACTTTTTATGTTTTAGCTAGATAAATGTTTGCCACACGCAATGTTCTAAAAAGCGAACTGGGCGCGCATCTAATGCTTCGCAATTTTTAGAACATTAGCCACATGACATCAAATGAAAAAGTCCCTATACAACCTTTTATTTTTTCTGTAGATCAACATGAACTTAACAGTAAAAGAAAAGAAAAAAGGGTATGCAGCAAGTCTGCAGTTGTTGCCTATATATTCACCGTCCCTTCCCTTATACAGTTGCAGAATTCATATGAGGGACTTCCTGGATTCCGACTTTTCCACTACATATGCAGCCGTTACTCTCTGGTTAATTAATGTATACTCCATTGGTTCATATGGGATTGAACAATTTTTTATATACCCTTACGCGCAGTGGCGGAATCAGAATTTAACAATAATAGCGTCACAATTTTATCAAAAAAAAAAACTTCATTGAATCATTTGGTTGAGCTTCAAGTGGGTATCTACCAAATTATGCCGCATTCTGTTGATTTATGTGTAGGACTATCGAGTGAGGCTTTTTATTGAACATTTGTTGCACACCATAAGGTCGCACACAAGAAATAGGAAAAGAACGACGGATGAAAGAAAGAAAAAAATTTACAAATAACTATACGGGGCTGGGGGGGTTGCACAAAAGAAGCAGCAGTTTGTAGTTCAGTGTTTTGGCTCTTTTTTCAGTTTGCCACAATTGTGTGTAGTCATACACAAATATGTGGAGTTATGAAGCTATTGAGGTCACGAGCAGCTAATGACTTTATGTTGGCTCCGTCACTTCTTACATGCTAATGGTAGCACTCTTCAGTTATAATTTTTAGATGGAAGTATTTATTCGGTGAGTCTTTTCTACATTTAGCTGCTTGACCTGCAAACGCAAATAGACTCTGATGTTGTAGTATGTTACTTTGGGTTGATTATTAATTAATCGAAAACGTTCAAGTATCGTTTCCTGAATTTTGATTTAATTTGATATTTGAATTAAAACTTATCACAATGTGGGTTAATGATATTTTTGTGTAACACCTTTTGTCCAGAATAAAAGGATTTTAAGAGCAAGGAACCAAAGTTATAACAATGTGACAAATCTAAGAACCAAAAACTCTAATTAGCTCCAATTGAAAGACTAGTATTTTTCTAATTATTAGTTTAGTTAATGAAATAGTCATAATATGTAGTCATACTTTCCTTGTTGCCAATTTTTATGATGAAATGGCCAGGAGGAGGTCCTTTGGCTGAGCTGTTTGCACCACCTAGGGACCTTTTGTGGTGCATTTTTTGTATTTAAATGAAGATTGTACAAACTACCAAATTTTTTCTTTTATTTTTGGAATATTTTAGTCTTTAGTTGGCTTTTATTAAGAAAAAAAAATAGTTA